GGCATACGGCATACGCGCTCGGCATTTTTATTGCTGTTGCACACACACACACACACACACACAAACACACACCCATAGAGCACTCCCCTCTCGCCGCAAGCGAAAATTCGTAGCAAGAATGTATTCAGAAATTACAATTTTGTTGCTTTATTAATAAATTGTTAAATTTTTAGTGAGCCTCTGACCCAGCGACCGTCGCCCCACCTCCCCTTATCAATGCCTGGCATGACCACAGCAATTGTGTGGCGTGCACCACCCCACCCCATCCCACGTGCACTTCTGCCACATTTTTGCAGCCGCAGTTTTGTTGCGGCATATTTTTGGCTGCCTACTTTTTGGGGTCGCACCTGGGTCTTCATTGGAATCCGATTGCGATTCCGATTCTGATTCCGATTCCCATCTCCGACTACAACAGAAAAGGATACTGTAGCGGGGGGCTTCCCGATTTGTCAGCGGCTTGCGGATGGGGAGGGGAGAGAGTCTAGAGAGCAACGACAATATTTTGTATGGAGTCATGACCCCAAAAATGTTGCTGCAGCTGGAGTGAAAAATGAAGAGTCATAAAATGGGGCGACCTACAGGCAACTTCCATTAGTTACCCGTGCCCATTAGAAGAGAGCGTTTTCCTCCGCACACACCCCTAAGCCACCCTTCGAAGAGTGCGCTTTTAGTGCATAAGTTGCATCAATGATAACTCGAAAAATGAAGCTGAATGGAGGAATCTTGCAGAAGGCGCTGCCTTGCGCTGGTAAGCAGTGCGAGGAAACGGAAACAGAGAGAGCAGAGGGGACAGTGGAGACAGTTGGTGGGGGGTAACAGGCTAACAGGAAAGCCAACGCGCTGATTTATGATGGCCCGGCCAAAGTTTTGCCCCAAAGTCTTGCAGTTTAGCGCCTGGCAAGTGATAAACTGCAAGGACTCGAAAGTTGTGGCGCCTGGAGCGTAGCTGCGTTCCGCTTATTAGATTGTATTTGATGGTCTCCTATCCCCAACAACCAACAGCCAACAGCCAACACCCAAGATCCACTCCACTCCACCCAGCCACCTAGCTTGCAACGGCTGGCCAGAAAATGGCAGCTGGCAGGGACACTCTTCGGCAGTAGAAAAAGATTGCAGCTGTTGGGGATGATTAAAGCTAAGCATACAGACTCACTACCTGCACAAATAATGCACATAGATTAATGATCAAAACAGGAAAATGATTAAAGCGAAATGCAGATTATCTCAGGAATTATTTCGAACAGGTGGCCAGCAGTGGCTCGCAGCTCAAGCAAACAATGGGAAATACTCCAGAGATGATCTTATTTAATGCCAAACCATCCACAGGCAAACCCTCGAGCAGTCGTCCCCTGTCATGTCAGAAGGAAGGGTGACCTCCACAAGAAGCGGTGACCCCGAGTCACTCGTTATTTGCTCGCCGTTTGGCTGGGCAACTTTGCTAACTGGCAAATCTCATTAATTTAGTCATCTTGCCCCGCTTTTGTAGTGCAAATGAGTCGGCACGGCACAAAGTTCACGTTCCTGCGGTGCCCACAGACGGGAGCCCCGGGGACCCTTTCTGCCTCCACATACCCTAGTCCCGGGTCCTAGTCCCGTGGGCACTTTTTGTGTGCATATGATGGGATGGGAAAGCGAGTCATTTGGCTGGAGTTCAACGTACTGCCACCTACCACTACGTACGGCCACGGATACGGGTACGGCTACGGATACGTGACAGGTTCGGCCTGGCCTCCACCTGGAGCGGGGTGCCGTGCGCCTAGAGTCCTCGCTGTTCCACTTGAGTGCGCTTTTCCCTTGGCTGCAGTGTCGCCGCCTGTTTATGGCCTGCTGTCAAATTAATTGGCTTTTCCGGCTTCGCCTTCACTCCCGCAACCTGCTGCCGGACTTGGACTCGGACTCGGACTCAGACCTGGACTTGGACGGGACTGCTGCTTGACAACTCATTTCCTCGAGCCTTGAATTTCTCACGTAGTGCGACGACGCGTGCCATTTGGCTTAGACCCCGTCTCGGTTTTCGATTTGGTCAGTATCGCTGTGAGCATTGGCCGGCACGGCTGTCGACAAACTTTCCGACACGGACGTGGTCGGAAGCGCTTGGGGCCCCTCACTCACATGTCCCATGGAATAGCCCGAAAGGAAGTGGGCCAACATCGGAGCACCGAAATCTCTTCACACTCTTCGCACACTGATCGCAGCCCCCTCGCTCTCGGTGCCTCGCCCAGAGCACAGGGCACAGAGCACTGAGCCAAGTGCCATCCATCCATGTCCAAGTCCTGAGTGCTGCGCTGCCAAGTCCTTGAGTTGTTTTTAGAATGCCTCCAGCTGCGTTTTGATTGCCCCTCCTTCTGCCAGCAGACTGCACCCACCTACACACCTACCCACCTGCCCACCTACCCACCTGCCTATGTGCACCAGCAAACGCTTTTTTTTATCTATGATATTAGAGGATCGCAATTTAATTCAGTCCGTCTCAATACTTTTTAATACCCTGTTCACTGGCATCAAAAACACTCAAACTCAATTTTTCGAGTGAGCTATTTTCATGATGAGTGAGTCTCTTTCCTAAGCGTAAATATTCCCCTGAATTTGGGACAATTTTAAGGGGGTAATTAAAGGGAAATTCATGATTTCTCCTGCAAATATTTCCCCTGAATGATTTTTAGCGGTTTGGAACTTGGTTAGTGCCTAGTCAATTGTTCAACCACCCAAGTCTAAAGTACCAAAAATTACCTTATATCGTAAGGGAACTTTCACTAGGAATTATTAATATAATCCATGTTTACCATAAACACTTTTGCCATAAAGCGTGCCTATAAACGCACAGACAAGGAAATTGCTTATCGTAAGGGCTTTATGGTTAGTTGTAATGGCTGCTGGTTGCGCATAGAGTTAAGGGGCGTAATAAACGATACGAGAGCCAGCCATATAGTTCGTGTAATATATTCGACTTAGTATTAAAATCTGCGTAGGTAAATCTTAAGCGCCACTTTTTCCACATAAAAGTAAAGGTACACCTATTATTGGTGTAATCCAACAGCACCCTGAGGGTATTTATGGGATGCGATAATAATATCCTTATCATGGGATATTAAATCCAGCGCCCCTAGCTCTGAGAAGAAATTGGATAATATTAGTTAGTTTTTCTACCCTAAAATACCCTTCTACATCTATTTATACATAAACCAGTCGAGATATTGTTACATACAATGTTTACCATAAATTGCATTCGTACGGGCTTTATGGCAGCTTAGATTTTAGCTCAGTGACGATATCCGCGTTTGCTATCCGCTGGGAAATAGTTTGTTTAACTACCCAGCGGATGAAATATTGTAGGTGGAGCCACAGCTATCCATTAACTTTGAGTTCAGGGTGCGAAATGTAATTTTAGGGAACGGTGACAGGTGTTAATTATGACGACCCAGCGACAGAAGCCGCAGCCCGCAGCCATAATTGGATAATTATCCACTGGGATGTGGCGCCTCATCAGCCTTATCAGTGGATTCCTGCCACATTCCATGCGTGTGCGTGTGCGTGTGGTTGGGGCACGCCACTAATTGTGGTTGGGATCTATCTGGGAATGCAGATGAAATCGATTCGATTCGTGTCGGTTCGGTTCGGCCACAAGGGAACCCCCAATTAGGCCTGAAATAGCCCTAGGGAGGGGGGGTGGCAGGAGCAGGGCGGAGAGCAACCTTCAATGTGTGGGCTCTGAACTTCCGCCGTGCACAAGGCTCTCCACAAAGGTGTCCTTGGCTCTGGTTTTGGCTCTGCCTCAGTCTCCGTCTCAGTCTCAGTCTCGATCCTGGCTAAGCGCTCGCTTGCGTAATATTTTCCGCTGCCTGTCGGTGCAGCCCTTTGTTCCATTTTGCCCGGAAACGGAAGCAATACACATAAGCCCACATGCACACAGCACACAGCCCACATGCCCACAGACAGTGCCACAGTGTGTGTGGCACAGACGCGTACAGATGCAGGCTGTCACTGTCACTGTGACTGTGACTGAGATCCCACATTCCATTAACTGGGTCAGGCCCAGCCCGCCTTTCAACGCAGGTTTCATTATTTCTGAAACAGTATTGTTCCGTGCAGCCTGTCCTAGTTGAGGGTCCCAGCTGTGGCACAGCGCCTCAGGGGCACAGCTGTGTCATGGAACCTCTGGGAGACAGCTGTGGCACAGCACCTTTGGGAGACACGCTTCATATGGGAGTGGAACTGCTCTGGGAATCTCCCACTGGGAGCAGTTCGGTTCCAGTTTGCAGCTGACCACTTACAAGGTGCAGAAATGGGTGCCCATGGGAGGAAGATTAATGCTGGAGTTCCACTGAGTACCCTTGGGGATCATATGGAGCACCAGTCGTTGCAGTTGTCTTTGCTGGAGGAGTCCCTCAGTCCACTGCCAGGAGAAATTGCAGCCTCACGCTCAGCTGTTGACCCCCAAGACGAGTTGAAAGCTGTGATAGAGCCACACACTAATAAATCCTCGTATATATGCTTTGGCATTCTTCTTGCTAAATTAAAGCATCCTTCAGGAGATCCTTCTGTACGCTGCAACGGGGCATCTGTCACTCAGGGGTCGCATTAGAAGAGGACGTGGAACACTGAGCACATACTCGACCGCGTACTCGTGCTGGCACTCACACTCACACTCGCCTCCCCCCGCCCCATTCGTAATGCGCGGCCACCAATCACGCCGTGTGCGGATTGCACGTACCCCCAACCCACTGCAGCCCACTGCAGCCCACTGCAGCCGCATTCCCCTGCCACATTACGAAACGTAGGAGAGCGTCGACAAAGGTCGACAAACCCCATCACAGTAGCCATAAAGAAAGTGTCATGTGGAGGTTTGGGGCGGTTTTAGTCGAATAATGCCAGTCGCTTCTCTAGCCCTGCTTTAGTATCATTTCCTACCAACTGTCTGAATAGTCTCCATACAAATACCTAGCACAAAATATTTCCAAAAATTTATTTCCAAATTAAATCCCAAAATTGAATCCATCTAGAACGAAGCCATGTCCGGGGGTATGCAGGAACTTCATTCCAAGACGGCCCTCAAGGCGGCCATCACCGCCGCCTTGAAAGCAGAGACTGTTGGCAAGGGGAGCGGCAGTGCCAGCACCAGCGGCAGCGTTGACGAACTGAAGGAGGTGATCGGTAACAGTGTCGCCAGCCAGAATGGAAACGTAAGCGGAGGCGCAAGCGCAACCATGCAACAGCAGAGCGTCAGCGGTGGCACGGGCACGGGCACAGGCACAGGCACAGGCTTTGATGCAAGTGGCTATGGAAGAATTGACGGGATGGGATCAGCACACAGCAACGGCAACAACAACGGAAGTGGAAACGGCAACGGAAACGGAAAATGAAAATCGAAGCGTGGGAAACATCGTCTCTGAGCGCAGACAGTCGATCTGCAATGTAATCTTTGGAGACGATGAGCGGAACTGCGGCAACGGAAACAGCAACGACAACGGCAGCATTGACAGCTCTTCGGGCGGTCTCTTTTCTCGCATTTTTAGACGAGTCGATCGCCTGCTGCGTCGCTGGCTGCCTGGCTACAATTATCTACGCGGCAGTGGCGGCAGTGACGACAGCGCAGATCTCAGCTTAGTCATAGTCGGCAATGAGTCCGGAAATGCCAACGAAAATGACTACGAGGATACGTTTGCTGGCGTAGAGGTGGCCAGCGAAGAGCCGCTACACTTGGCTCAGGTGCAGGTCCAGCGGGGGCGCAGCTTTTCTACAATGAGCGGCCATCGTAACAAATGGATGTCGAATGACATCTACCTGAGCGGGGGCATCACCCGAGCCGAGTTCAGCGCCCATCTGGAGGGCATCCTGCAGAAGCGGATGCTCAAAGAGAACCAGGAGACAGTGCTGTACCTGCAGCACTAGCAGCCTCAGTCGCTGACGATGTCAAAGCCGAAGCCGAAGCCGAAGCCGAAGCCACTGATTGTTGTGCCTTAACTTTCGGCCACTTCCATTGTAGCACAAAAACCACAGAGAGAATTCATTAAATTTAAATAGAGAGAGCAGCAACACCCAAAACACCAGCACCCACTCGCCCATCAATCCGCCATTAAAATTAATTGTGAATAATGACCGCAGGGACTGCAATGAAGAGGGGTGGGCGGGGGGCTGTAGGCCGCTTATGAAGAGTTGATTCCAATGCGGTCCCATGGGTGCCACAAACCAAGGGCAAAGCGTGCCGCGTGTATGCGACTGTGCGATACCTCGCATAGCCTGAGAACAGCTAGAAATTGCCCAACATATTGCCCAATATCCCCATCTCTTTTTGATGCCAGTTTAAGTATCCTTTCAATGGATTTCCTCTGCCTGATATATATGGACAAAGCGCTTCCTTTCCTTTCCTGCCCGCCCTGCACACAAAACGGAATTGGAATCGGAATTGAAAATGAAAACAGACCACCAGCCGCTGTTTGTCCTCCTCCTACGGGGAAATGCAAGTGAAAAATGGTTACACTCCATCAATCCGGAAACCGATTAGGGGTTGGGGGCTGACCAATGTTAATCAGTCAAAAGCAGCAGCAGCAACAACAACAACAGACACTGCGACTGCCTAATCGTTTATAATTGCAAACCAGAGACAAACAAAGAGACAGCAGGCCTCCCTCCGGTTGGACAGTGCAGTGCGGCAGGCACGCAGGCAGGCAGGCAGACAGTCAGTCACTCAGGCACGGCAGCTCGATTGTGCGACAAATCCAGGGCAACCTGCCAACCTGGATGGGGCCTGACAGCCACTTGAAACGTCGATTTAGTCGTTTTCAATTGCCAGGCAGCGGAAGCTGTGGGTGGAGTGGGTGAATGTGGCTGGGTCTGAGGGCATGTCATTGAGCCTGACTACAATTATGTGTATTTCAATTTGTTGGCTCTTCAGCCGCAGCCATCCCCGCAGCCCCTGCCATACTGCCATCAAACTGGTAGCCACTCATCATTCGGGGCCAGAGCCATTGGGGCAGCATGACAAAGCGCTAACAAAAACATTACGCACCGCAAACCGACAACAGAGACGGAATCACGACCGATGAGATACCCGGTAAGCGGTGGCTTCTGTGGCGAGATATTCAGTGCCCCTCAGCATGTGGACTTTGGGGGGAATGACATTGACATGTGGATTTAAGCATCCTCCACACAATGAGTTCCAAAGGAAACATCGCAGTCATGACTCATATGTGTGTGTGTGTGTTCCCTCGTCCGTTGCCTGTTGCACAAATATACCCCTTAGCTTACGATTGCCACGTGTAAACCAAACCAAAAGCAAACTAAAGCAAAGCAAAGCAAAAAAAACATTAAGTATACGCACCGCAAACGGGAGTCCCATTGGGTTTGTCATTCCATATGTGTGTGTGTGCCCCATCCTGTGTGTCCTGTGTGTCCCTCCAGCATCAACAGCATCATAATTCTGCTGGCAAAGCACTTGAGCACTGACCATTAACATGACTTTTGTCCACGCAGCTCCCCACCCAAGCCGCCCATACACAGACAGTCAGACAGCAGACAGAGTGGCAGAGAGGGGGTGGGATGTTTTGCTCCTGCTGTTATCGTTTGCCAGTTTTAGGGTTGCTTCTGGCTACCCACAGCTCGACCGCATCCTGCAAGCTGATGCTGTGCCACTCCCCAGTGTCCATTGTCCAGCCCCATTCAATATTTGTGCTCGTTGCGGCGATTGTGTCACGGGACGGGGCGAGGACTGAGGCTGAGGCTGAGACTGAGGCTGATTGGAGGGCCAACAGAGTGTATAAGCATCGGTAATATGGAAATTTTTGTTTAAAATTACAGCCAATTGTGGGCAAGGAAAGAGGAACAGATTGGTCCACAAAAGGATAACAAAAGGAAGGTCGGAATCGTCCAGGGCACACCAGTTCCCCCGTAAGCAACCCGCTGCACAAACAACAAAAATACCTTTATTTCGTGTGTAATTTTTTCAAATATTTCTTTTATTTATGATTTGGTTTTGATTTATTTTTTTGTTCGTTTTGTTTTTTTGTATTTTTGGTTTTTTATTAAGGGATTTTCGATTCGAGTTTTTTCGAGTGGATTAAAATTGTAAATCGTAAATTACATTAAATTGTTCGTTCAATAATTAAATATTTGTTCTTGTTCGATTACGATTTCGTTTCCGTTTTTGTTTCGATTCGATTTGATTCGATTTGATATTTGTTGCAGCAGTAGCTTTAATTGAGCAAATATTTCCTAATTAAATTAATTTATTTCGATATACGATGCTAGTCGAAAGATTGGCAAAGAGAGAAGGGCAATAACTATAGGGCGGTGGAGGAGGAGAAGGAGAAGGAGGGGTGGAAGTGGGCATAGGGGTTGGGTGGTGGGGGGTGGGACGCTTACAGAGGAGCGATACTTCAATGATATGTCTTGAAAGATACATACATAAGTATATAGTACATATGATAGGTATTATCTATTGTTTATTAGGGATAGATATACCCAGAGAGAGAGAGAGAGAGTTGCCACGAGTTGGGGCACTCGTGCTCGTGTGCCACACGTGCATGTAGATCGATTATCGTTATACATTAAGTAGATTGATTACTTTACTGGTACGTTACTTTGGAATTTCACAGAGTGTTAGGGGTGTGTGTGTGTGGTGTGGAATTCGATTATTCCATAGGCTATACGTATAATTATCATTTTGATTCGTAATTTGATTAGCTGTGCGTTCAGGCAATTTCATTTTTGAATTCGAGTTCCAATTCGAGTGAATGAATGAGACTTGAGTGAGACTTGCTTAGAGTTGCTTGGTAATATTGTTAAATCGATTTGTTATCGCTTCAGACTCGCCTAATTACGCCTATCGTACGTAATCGATGAGTGTCTAATTATTGCAGCGACGAGTCAATAAGTTATCGTTTTGAGTTGAGTATTTTAATGTCGATCGATATACCAACAACAGATGAGTAACCGATCAAGCTGTACGATCAAGCAGTCGAGTCATCGAGCCAATCCTCACTCGTCAATTCTACTCAATCGTGGCACTGCCCGCTGACCACACCTGACCCCGACCCCGGCCCCTGCCCCTGCCCCTGCTCAATCGTAGCTGAGCGAAATGGCCGACTTGGGCGTGGGCAGCGGCGATGTGGTGTTCTCCTCCTCATCGTCGTTCTCCTGCGAGTCCTCCGGCTCGCCCAGCGCATGCACGAACTCATAGAAATCGATGCGCCCATCGCCATCCACGTCCACCTCCTTGATCATGTCCTCAACTGTTCGAAAAGGTTCAATATGGGGATGGTTCATGGTAATGGGTTAATGGGAGCCACTACTTACTGTCCTCCTCGTCGAGGTCCTCGCCGAGACACTGCAGCACCGCCCGCAGATCGGAGGCGGTGATGTAGCCGCGATTGTGCTTATCGAAGACTCGGAAGGCATCGCGCAGCTCCCGCTCCTCCTGGTCGGCCGACGACAGGCCCGACTTGTCCTCGTACGTCATGTTCGACAGGATGTCGACAAACTCCTCGAAGCTCACGTTGCCATCGCCTGCAGAGGGACCAGTCAAGGGGAGCAGTCAGGGGGAGTAGAGCTGGCAACACAGAATGGCAGACACTCACCATCCACATCGATCTCCTGGAGCATCTCCTGCAGCTCCTCGACGCGGGCAAACTGTCCCAGGGAGCGCATCACGGTGCCCAGCTCCTCCTTGGTGATGCAGCCATCGCCGTCCTTGTCGAAGAGACGAAAGGCCTCGCGAAACTCTGCAAAAGCGGAATGGCATTGGTAACCAGGGGGTGTGTCACACCCTGTCACACCTTCACTCACCGCGCATTTGTCCCTTGGAGATGCAGCGACGCTTGTCCTGGTTCTCGCCGTCGCCGTCGCCGTCACCATCGCCCTCGCCCTCATGGCCATCCGGGTCGTTGTGCCCCGAATCCGGGGCATAGGAGCTGGAGCGCTGCGAGAACTGGCGGACTTTCGTTTTGCGCTTGCTCTGTGTACCCCCGCCCATGGTCAGCACCGGGCGGGGGCGAGCCACCTGGCGGGGCCGGGATGACTGCTCGTAGTCGTCGTAGTCGTCCTCCTCCTCATCGTAGTCGTACTCCTCTGCATCCTCCTCTGCATCCTCCTCCTCCTGCTCGAGTAAATTCCTTTGCGCGTAACTGACACGCTGCCGCCTCGTACCAGAGCCCACTCCGTCGCAGGAGCTGGAGTCCGTGTCCCCATCCGAGGGCCCAATGGCAGCGCTTCGTTGTGGTTCTTTCCTGCGTGGCCTCTGACGTCGCTGTGGCGCATCCCCATCGCCATCCCCGGCCTGTAGCACCGGCTCCTCCTCCTCCTCCTCTGTTGCTGCCTCCTCCGCCTGCGCCCCGGCCAGAGCCCCATCCAGAGGCTGGTCGGGGGCGCCAGCTGCGGAAGTCTGCTCCTCGTCGGGTTCGTCGCCACTGACGGCCGCGTTTCTCGTCTGAAAAAGAGCAGAAGAACATTGTAGGAGCTTCGTTCCACTGCTTGAATCCAGCAGGGAGGAGAGGAGCGGAGAGGAGCAGAGAGTACTCCTGCTGTGGTAACATAATATACTCACCATTAGCTGGCGGAATTCGCGGGCAATTGTTGAACCAGTTAAAAATTTATTAACTGCCGTGAAAAGTCGTTTTCCTTCCAATGTGGCGGCCTTCCGCTCGCTGCTGCGGCTCCACTTCAAAGAATCAGCCCAGCCACAAATCCCCCTAGCCTCACTGGGGGAGTCTGCTTCCGCTGCTGCTGCTGCGGCTGCGGTTGCTGCTCTCTTTCCAGCCTTTCCAGATGATACGACGATATCGGTCCGGTGTCGCTATTTTTTCGGGGGGGCGGCTCAACGATTATGCAAATTGGAACGCATTGAACGCACAGAACGAACGCCGCCTGCTGCAAAAGAGAGTACAGCGTGGTGGGGTAGGGGGTGGAGTGCCCAGCCCAGCCCAGAGATATGTTAATTAAGCGATTTCAAATTGAATGCCATTTGCATAACGGGCACGTTCCGCTGTTCTCCGATATAACGACCCCCACGTGACCAGAGAGCGACAAGTGGACACTCAGGACACTCAGGACAAACGGTGCATGGTACATGGAGAGGTATGTATAATCAGTCTAATAATCTATTTGATTGCCACACATTCATGTCATCCAGAGCAAAGCAGAGCAGAGGAGTGCAAAGCAGAGCAGTGCAAAGCAGAGGAGTGCAAAGCAGAGCAGTGCAAAGCAGAGCAGCGCAGAGGCGATGCTAATTAAACCAATTAATGTCAAGTGAAGGCTGAAGTGAAGTGAAGGCACCTTTTGGACAAGGTATTTCCCAAAAGAAAAGAAAAATATAAATCTATGAAGGAATCTTCCGATCTGGATGGATAACGACTGATATTCAGGGCAGCAGCAGCAGAACTGTTAACATACCAGCTGAACAGCCTGTAGCCGCTACCTGTTACAGTGCACTGTTAGCGCTCTCTGAGAGCGGGCTCGCGTTCGCTCTCGCTCTCACGATCCAGACAGCTTTCGAACGGCATTTGCTTGTGAGTCAGCACTGTTTATTATCTGCACTTTGGACTTTGGAGAATTCATGAAGGAGCACGAAGAAGTAGCAAAACAAAATCAAATCTAGTAGTCCCTGGATGTTCCTGCCATTTGGCCTCAGTGTTTGCATTAGTTTTGGTTTCCCTTGCTACACATTGAACAAGGAAAATTTTTAGTTTTTAGTTTACGTTTACGTTTCGGAATTTCGTCTAGCCCCAAGATGAGCACCACAAGTTCGCGAGTGCTGCTGCAGAAATCGAAGCGAGTCACCATGATGATTCGCGTTTATGAGGAGAGGATCTCCCAGCAGACACCCCAGTCAAGGGGCATGGGTGTGCCCAGCCCGAAGGCCAAAAAGCTGCTCTTCTACCAGCAGATGGAGCAGACACTGGCAATGGGAGATGGCAGCAAAGTCCAGAAAGTGGAACAAACCAAGGAGGAACAGGAGCAGGAGCAAGAGCAAGAGCAGGAGCAGGAGCAAGAGCAGGAGCAGGAAGCAGTAACGAAGGCAGAAGAGCAGGTGCCACAGCAGAAGACGAAGAACAAATGGCTAAGCCTGTCCACGCTCTGGTGAGTAGTTGCACCTTGGCTGGAATACGTAGATACGATTCGGTTATAAACCTATGTGTTTCCCGCTCATAAGCTCACTGTTATTGGACATCCTGCCCGGTGTGCTTATCGTAGTTGTCCATTAACCGCTTAACGTGCCATTTGAATGGAAATTGATAAGAAATCCTAACCATCAGCAAACCGGTCAAACTACTGAAGAAATTGAAGATACCCTGCGGCAAGGGATGCCATCCGGAGAGCGATTAAACCCGGAGACGAAACCGAAGCGGGAACCGATGAATCGTTTGAGCTGTCATATTATGTTTCATCATTCTGATGCACCCGCCATGAAGCAGCCCCGCAGCCCTTTGACCAGGGCTCTCGCTGGACATCTGGACACCTGGATCCCCGGGCTGTAGCCCCGCAATCAAGATCCCAAATAGAATCCAAAAAAGTGAACAAAATTACCCACATAAAGCTTTTCGCTCTCTCTCTCTCTCTCTCTGTTTCCATCCCTTTGCCAATTTTTCGTAATATTTTTTACTGCAAGTGAAAACTTTTTACGCCGATTGAATAAAAAAAAATGAAATAAATGTTGAAAATGCGAAAATGCACGGAAAAATTAAGTTTAATCCGATTATTGCATGGGACAGAGACAGCGACAGGGGCTGGGACAGGAACAGGACTTTCGCTGCCGCGGAATTAAAATTGCATTTCGATTGCCTCTGTGTGTGGCAGCATTTTGAAGTTTATACCCTGCCAAATGGGGCTGCAGGACTCTGAGGATGGTTTGCCATATCCCATAGATATCGGTAGCGAAGCTTCGGTCTTTCGAGCGAGCAGAATGAAGCAGATGGTGTTGGCCAAGCGGAAGGATGCGGCCGGCATGGAGGAAGTAGGATTGGCGGCAGGGGCAATCAGGCCACATGCCACATGACCACACATGCGGGTGCATTGGTATGGGATGGCCTCCACATGCGGCACTGCAGACCGCAATTTAAATGCACGAAAAGGAAGTGCCAAGGCGTGAACAAGGACGCTGCCCGAAGGCGATAGGGGTGCATGCAGGCAGGCAGGACGCGCAGAGAGCACAGGGAGGACAGTGGAGGCGGAGGCGGAGGTGGAGGTGGAGGTGTGCGCCCAAGCAATTTCATATTTAAATTTCATCGCAGCTAAAGCTGATCCAGCACCCACACGCACATTTAATCAGCATTTAACGTTAACTGCTCCATTAAGCCAATGACGTGAGTGCAGTGCTGTGCCGTGCAGTGCATGCGGAAAGGGGCTGAACGATAACGATTGAAGGGGAAGTGCCAGGGACAGCCAGGGATGGATGCACAGGAAGCTGTGTGGCTGCGATCCTACGAGTCTCTATGGCAGCGCATTATTCATTCACTCCAGGCACTCACTCTTCGTGGCTGCATTCATTTACTTCATTGCCCTGCCATGTTCTTCATTAGCTCCTGCCTCAATCCCATTCACATTCAGTCTGCTGGTTAGCTTAGCCATTTGCATTCCCATTTCTGTCAGTGTGCAGCTCCCATGCTCCCTTTTTTCGCTCCAGTTTAATCCCCCGTTCTCCGACGTTGGAGTTGCGGGCAAAACTTTCTGACATGAACTAAATGAAGACACAACTTTCAACCTGCTCCATTCATCCCTCATCGCAGCAGGAGTCTGAGGTTGGAGTAGTACTTCCCATCCCGTCCCATCACAGCCAGGCGACAAATGCGTTGCTCTCCGTAACTTTTTGTTAGTTTTGTGTCTCTCCTCGCAACCGTCAGACCATCAGAGCATCAGACAGATGTTCCACCAACCCCACAGAGAGTAGGGCCACTGAGGCGAGGCGGGACTGGGCGGACAGTCCTCAGACCTCAGTCCTAGACTGTGGAGTAATCAACATTTGATAAATGAAATAAAGTTAATGTGCAAAGTTTTTAATAGATTTGAACATGGCGCCGAGTCGACCGAACGCCTCACTTTGACGTGGAACTGGAAGTGGAAAGCGCGGCCGGGAAAGTGCGGTGAAAACAGACAGTGGGAAAGATAAAGCACAAGAAAAGTTAATAAGTAAGCCACAAAGAAGTTGGCGAGCCGCAGCTGTGTGTGTTGGGATTGTTGCAAGGGGATCAGCGCCCATCCCTCTCTCCTGTGGCTGCCACTAAGCCACCCTTAGTTAGCACCCTCTGACGGGAGCCGGAACCGCACCGCAGTGGCAAACATTTAAGCTTTCGACCAACAGCTCAAAAAAGCGTAAACCGAAACCGCAAAATGTTTTTGGCACACATTTTATTGTTTAATTTGAATTCTTTCCCTGCCTCCAGAAGGGGTTCGGCGCCTGTGGGTGGTGGCGCATAACCGCAGTTGTAAATGGATTACAACACTCACATTCCCCACGCCCACTCCCACCCCCTGCCCTGCAATGCAATCAATTAAGGAGAAGCGACGAACGACAAAACAGAAACAAAAATAACATTTTGCCGTTTGTGGAACGCCGCGTATACGCTGCGTATGCGTTATGTTTGCATGCCACAGCAGAAAGCAGAAGGGGGAGAGCAAAGAGTAGAGGCAACAGTGGGAGGCTGTGCGGGGAATATTGGCAAAATATTGGAAGCAGAATTCTCATTAAAAAAAAAACCCCGAAACAAGATTGGAAGACACGAAGCTATGGATACTCCTCGTAGAATGCAAGTTGATGGCTTTAACTGGACTAAGGCTAATGGGAAGCCCCTAAAGAATGGAAAATATTCAACTAAATGGCTTCGAAAGTGAATCTTTGATTGTTTTCGACATCTGTCAAAAGAATCAGCGGATAGAATGAAACTTCATAGAATTTGGATACACTCTGAACGTAAAGGGGGATAGTGCTGGCAATAGTGCTCTTCCTCCTTTTCCTTTTCTGAAACACCTCTTGGATTATCTGGGGACGTTTGCTCAGAATCGTCATGCCCTCTGGCGTGGAGGGTATCAAAGCATCGAGCAGTCCAGTACAAAGTTTACGCATAAATCAAACAAAACAAAACAAAACAAAACAGAACAAAAAGAAGGGAAACAGGGGCGGGCCGTGCCAGGCCAGGCGGCACGCGTTAGAGTGGGTAAACTTATGTGTTCTTGGACTCTGTACCACCCCCTGTGGCACGCCCACCAAGCACGTAAATATTTGGTTGTGCAATAAAAAAAATTTAGCAACGTAAAACGAGACGAAGGCAAAACCAGAATCGAAAGCAAATACATCGATGTGAGAGAGAATGTGGCAAGGAGAGTGGAAAGGAAAAAACGTGCACCAAATCCAGTGGCAACTGTGGATGGTTTTTCATTGGATTGGGAAGCCCTATGGTCATGCTGTGGGTCTCTCCCGATATCCTTTTACTGGCTTGCAATCTTTTCGTGCACAAATTTCGAGAGCAATTCCATCCGATAGAGCAGCTCCCACTCGGGTTATCTGTGGAGCGTATTCCCAGACATCATTGCATGCTCTTTTATGGTGGGTATTCAAATGCGATTCCCATGTTTAATCACTCCCCTATTAGTGGCTCTCTGCCGCGCTTCGGGGTTCCCTTCGCTTCCCCCAGCTGTGGCGTGGCTGTGTGCCAGCTCCTTAAATAATTTATATGCCACTTGCCGCATGCTGCATGGGCAAAAAGACCAACGAAAGTGCCATGAATGCATATGCATGATAATCAAGTGGCGACGTTGCGGTCCACTCTCTGGCATCCCGCCGCCCTCTCGCTGCACCCAACACCCCCACCCCCACTAAAATTACTCGGCACTATCTAGTCCTCTATCTTCTACTCCCACACACACACAGCCATGTC